AAATATTACATACTTAGTAAAATAAACTTACTTTATAACTGAAAATAAAGTTCTGTATAGTTGGGTAAAAATTTCATTGCTGTCCTCTAACTCGAAGCATATGTTATATGACTTGACCCAAGCAATGTTCTAAAAATAAGAGGTTAAAAAGGTAAACACTTTGGTAAAAATATACAAGCCCAAAAAACTACTTTAAAATATCACCTCAAGATACATTACTTACCTCAAGTAAATAAAAATACCTATTGAACTGTGGGCTCTTTGTATCTTCTAGCCCCTTCAACTGCCTTGTTATAAACATAAATATATCCTTTAAAAAAAAGACAAAGTATTGTTTAGATTATAAATGCTAAATGATAATATTCACTAAACTCCTAAAGGTAATTCAGTATTCGTGTGTACATATCACGATAAACCATAAAGACTGTAAAGAAAAAACAGTATTTGGCTAGAATTTTTTAAAAGTACATCTTTATATGAACACTAAATGTATTACTATCCTTCACAGGAAAATAGTAAATCATTTACCATGATCTTAAAGTATATAAAGAAAAACTTCATCTTACAGCAAGTTAAACAAATAGACCTGAGAACTGAGTCAACTAAAATTTACACCATTTTTAGAATAAAAATTGTTGCAATGACTGAGAGCTGATAAGGTTTGCCGGAACAGCACAATATATGGTAATTACACAGGAAGAGCACAGTTTAGGAATATTAAAATTTAAAAAAAAAAACAAAACACCACTCGGACTTGTGGGGGAGTGGGGAGGCAAGGGCAACATACATAACCTAAACATCTGTACCCCCATAATATGCTGAAATTAAAAAAACAAAAAAAAAACAAAAAAAACACCAAGTGACAAAGACAGCAGATCCCATACGGAAGCTTAGAAATACTTAAGACCATCAGAAGTCAACTTGTCAAGATTCCTATCTAATCACTATAATTGCTTGCTTTTCGCCACCATTTCCCAATCTATTCTCATCTGTTGCTTTTGATTTTTGACCACATCCCCCTTTGTACCTGGATAGACAGGTTCAACATCACTCTGAGTCAAGTTTTTATGGAAATGAGTTTCAAGAGAAATGTAGATGTTTTTGAACAGTTTGAAAAAGGCTTAAGGTTAGAAAAATTAATTCTGCAAAGGAAGCATGCTATCAATCAATAAAAGAAAAAAATGTTTCCATTTAGTAAAATAGCAAGCATATTTTAAAAGGAAAACAATTTAATATGTAAATGACTGTGCAGCTTTTTAAGAAAAGTCCTATCAAAAGTACCCCCTTCAAAAGACAACAACAAAAAAACCACAGGCCAATATCTCTGATGAACATAGATGCAAAAATCCTCAACAAAGTAATAGCAAACCAAATTCAACAACACATTAAAAAGATTATCCATCATGATCAAGTGAGCTTCATCCCAGGGATGCAAAGATGGTTCAACAAACACAAATGAATCAATGTGACACATCGCATCAACAGAACGAAGGACAAAAACCATATGATCATTTCAACTGATGCTGAAAGAGCACTTGATAAAATTCAACACCCCTTCATAATAAAAACTCTCAAAAAATTGGGTATAGAAGGAACATACATCACCATGACAAAAGCGATATACGACTAGACAGCTAGTATCATACTGAACAGGGAAAAACTTAAAGCCTTTCCTCTAATATGTGGAACAAGACAAGGATGCCCACTTTTACCACTATTATTCAACATAGTACCGGAATTTCTAGCAAGACCTATCAGACAAGAAAAAGAAATAAATGACATCCAAATTGGAAAGGAAGAAGTCAAATTATTCTTGTTTCCATACCATATGATCTTTTATCTAGAGAAACCTAATGACTCCACAAAAAAACTCTAAGAACTGATGAACAAATTCAGTAAGGTTGCAGGATACAAAAATCAACATCCAAAAATCAGTAGCATTTCTATATGCCAACACTGAACAATCGGAAAAGGTAATTTCATTTACAACAGCTACAAATAAAATATTTAGGAATAAACTTAAAGAAGTGAAAGATCTCTACGATAAAAACTATAAAACATTGATGAAAGAAATTGAAGAGAACACATAATGGGAAGATATTCCATGCTCGTGGATAGGAAGAATCAGTATTGTTACAATGTCTATACTACCCACAGCAATCTACAGATTCATCAACGTTTTCACAGAAACAGAAAAAGTAATCCTAAAATGTATATGGAACCACAAAAGACCCAGAATAGCCAAAGTCTCTTAAGAAAAAAGAACAAAACTGGACGAATCACATTACCTAACTTCAAATTATACTACAGAGCTATAATAACCAAAATAACATGGTACTAGCACAAAAACAGACACACAGACTAAGGGAACAGAATAGATACGAGAATCCAGAAACAAATCCACACATCTATAGTAAACTCATTTTTGACAATGGTGCCAAGAACATACACTGGGGAAAGGACAGTCTCTTGAATAAATGGTGGTGGAAAAACAGAATATCCGTATGCAGATGAATGAAACTAGACCCCTATCTCTTGCCATATACAAAAAGCAAACCAAAATGGATTAAAGACTTGAGTCTAGGACTTGAAACTATGAAACTACTGAAAGAAAACACTGGGGAAACACTTCAGGACAGTGGTCTGAGCAATTATTTCTTGAATAATACCACAAAAGCATAGGCAACCAAAGCAAAATTAGACACATGGGATCATATCAAACTAAACAGCTTCTGCACAGCAAAGAAAACAATCAACAGAAGGAAGAGACAACTCACAGAAAATATCTGCAAACCACCCATCTGACAAGGGATTAATAACTAGCATATATAAGGAGCTCAAACAAATCAACAGGAAAAAATCAAATAATGTTACTTTAAAAATGGCAAAGATCTGAATAGACATTTCTCAAATGAAGACATACAAATGGCCAAGAGGTATACGAAAAAATGCCCAACATCATTAGTCATCAGAGAAATGCAAATCAAAATTACAATGACATATGATCTTGCCCCAGTTAAAATAGCTTTTATCCAAAAGACAGGAAATAATGAATGCTGGAAAGAATGTGGAGAAAAGGAACCATCATACACTACTGGTGGGAATGTAAATTAGTGCAACTACTATGGAGAACAGTATGAAGGTTCCTGAAAAAATAAAAAATAGAATCATCATATGACCCAGCAATCCCACTGTTAAGTACATATCCAAAATAAAGGAAATGAGTATATCAAAGAGATATCTGCATTCACATGTTTATCATAGCACTGTTCAAAATAGCCATCAATGGATGACTAAGCATCCATCAACAGATGAATGGATAAAGAAAAGAAAATGTGGTACATATACACAATAAAGTATTATTCACCCATAAAAAAAGAATGAAATTCTGTCATTTACAACAACATGGATAGAGCTGGAAAATATAATGTTAAATGAAATAAACCAAGCACAAAAAGACAAACTGCACATATTCTCACTCACATGTGGGAGCTAAATATTAAAACAATTGATCTCATGGAGATGACAGAGCAGAATGATGATTACCAGAGGCTGGGAAAGGTAGCAGGGAGGAGGGATAAAGTCAGGATGGTTGGTGAGTACAAAAATACAGTTAGTTAGATAGAATGAACAATATCTGACAGCACAACAAAGTGACTATAGTCAACGAGTTATACTATACATTAAAATAACTAAAAAGTGGAATTGAAATGTTCCTAACACAAAGAAATGATAAATGTTTGAGGTGACAGATACCTCAATTACCCTGATTTGATTAATACTCATTGCATGTTTATACCAAAACATCACATGCACCCTATAAATAATACAACTATTATGTACCCATAATTAAAAATAAAATTTTTTTAAAGTACACCCTTCAAAAAATGGTCACTTAAGAAAAAAAAAGATTACTTTCATAGTAGTGCTGTGTAAAATACGTTCTCCATGAATGAATCCTTCCTGATTGTCTAAAAGAGAACACATGCCATATTGACTCTACCTGGAGATGGAAAGACCAACAGTTATTTATAACCTCACCAACAATAACTGACCTAAACATGAAGCCAGGTGTACAAAAAGGGTTTGCTGATGACAATAACAAACTGACGGTGGAAAGGAGAGGATCAAGGTATCACAGTTTTCTAATATGTATAACACTACCATAGATTTTAAAAAATATGAACTTGATGCTAATCGAAATAGTAAAAATTATCCCACATTTAGAAAGTACTCTCAAAATCAGTAATTTTTAAGCACCATCCTTGTAAAAGAAAAAATAGACATTAAGACCAAAAAATTTATTATATAAATAAAGTACTTCAAAATTTTTGGCTAGGGAATAACCCACAAAGATCCTAATCTTACCTGCTCGACAGTCTTCTCATAAATTGTCCTGTTATAAATAGTACAAATATGTAGCTACTCTTTTAGGAGGACTTTTCTTTACCCCAAAGTCCTGAAATAGGTCACTGATTATACAAACTGAGAAATCCCCAAGAGAAGTAAATAAATTGTGTAGTAGCAGTCCTAAGTAAGACTTTCTCTTCATGAGAATGCCAACAAGACATCTAGTGAGGAAGAGCCAAAGCCTACAGCCAAAGAAATAGAATCACCCCTTAAGACAATTAATAAGCATCTCCAAATTAGAGGTTTACATGCCTTACACCTGGATTCACAAATACAGACCAATTCATGCTATCTATATTAAGTCTCTGACCATTCTCAAATTTTAAAATTCAATTCTACTTTTAATTGATTAATATTGGCCCTCTACTTCCCCCATCCTAAGATTCTTTCACCCGTCAAAATGAAACAAGCATGCCCAAACCAGTTTGGGCATTCCATATTTGAATTTTGGCAGACTTGTTCAAATGAGCAGGTTCCTCACTCCAATTATCAAAAAGCAACTCTATGAGTCCAAGAACCATGTCTGGATTTTGGGGGGTTTTTTCCCCCTCACTATTGTAAATCCAGTTCCTGATATATAACTAACAGTGAGATTTGTTAAGTGAAATAAATATAAATTGTCTGCCATTTTTTCACACTGTGGATTCATAATCTTTCTATGGACTCATTCTCTAACCCATAGTTTGCACAATTATCTTTTATTTAATATTATTGTTTTTAATTCCCACCTGACCTGCCTTATAATCATTCAGTATCTTCTGCACAGCTCTAATTACTTCATGCTTTCTACTAGCATTTTTCAAAATGGATTAATCACGTTATTCTCATCTTTTAAAGATTTTTGCATTTATATGGTTTTACTTACAACTACCATAACTAAGTACATGTCTTTTCTACCTTAACATTAAAATTTCTACCTTAACATTGCATTTTCTTCAAAACAATTCACATCATACCTTCCATTGAATGAATTAGTAATACATATTATTAAATTCAGGTTTATACTAGGTACTGTCTTTTAAAACAAATAAAGGCCATGGTTTTCAACATGGAGTTTCAAAAAAGAAAAGGAATTGCCTTTTCCTAAAATTATATTGAAAGAAACAAAGCTAATATAAAACGTATACACTGTATTAATCTACTTCTTAGCCTCAAAATCAGAATTGTTTTTCAAAAGTTAGTTTTACAAAAAAACAGAAGTCTAACAAAAGATTACTGTACAAACACTGAAGAATCCAGGCCAGGCACAGTGGCTCACGCCTGTAATCCCAGCACTTTGAGAGGCTGGGGCAAGGGGGATCACTCAAGGCCAGGAGTTCGAGAACAGCCTGAGCAACATGCAGAAACCTCGTCTGTACAAAATATTTTTTAAAAAAAAATTAGTCAGGCATAGTGTACATGCCTTGTAGTCCTAGCTAGTCAGGAGGCTGAGGCTGGATGATCGCTTGAGCCCAAGAGTTTGAAGCCACAGTGAGCTATAATGACACCACTACATTCTAGCCTGGGCAAGAGAGATTCTGTCTCAAAAAAAAAAAAGAAAACAAAAGAAAGAATCCAAGACATTATCTAAATACTTTAACTCCCATTTTAGTTCGAAAGATAAACCAAAGTATCAATCAATCTTGGAGTTCTTCACAGTACTTGCCTTTAGTTTATCGGGGGATGTGTAAGGAGCTTCAGGAGCATAAATCCTGAAAATATCAGCAAGGCAGCAGGCTACTAGTAAGCGAACATCTTTATCAGGATGCTTGAGGAAAAAATCTGAAGCAAGATGTAAAGCTAGGTTTAGATACAGTTCCTTTTCTTCTTCAGAGTCCTGGTCCATATCCATGAAAGTTTTCACAACCATCTATACAAAAACAAAATAATCAAATGAAATGTTCCATGTAAAAATACAGTCATTTGATATAAAGGCCATATTAATTGCAAAGGTTAACTTCAAATAAATATACTTTCATTTTTCTGCAAAAAGTATCTACTTGAGAGAACAAGATCCCTTTAAAACTACAGGGTAAACTTTTCTTTGAAAGACTAAGTAAAATATTTTTCATCTACCCAACATATCTGCTAACCAGATTTTAAAAGTTTAAAATTAGCCTGATATAGTAGTCGTTATTGGAAGAAATCCAGTAGAATATTTGTTGAAACTTCTGGTCTCACTTGTACAACTGAACTAAAAGGGGTATGTCCTTAAAACTACCATCCCTTTCTTTAAAAATAATATTTCTAATCATTAAGAGAAAAAGTACATACCTAAAGAAAACTTGGATGGATGACAATTTAGTTTTCCATCTGAGCCACTAAACCACTCCAGTCACATAGTTTTATACATTCAACTAAAAAAGTATAAATGGCTTCAAGACAGGATGTCAAAGGTACAGCCTTCAACATTGGAAAGCTACCATGATGTGACCACCGTAACATTCAACAAAAAATTTCTTGTGCCACAGTAAAAGAGAATACGATATGGATAGTTCACTGATTCAATAGCATGTATGTGGTGAACAGAAGGAAGCTACTGGAAATGGTTCCTTTTTCAAAAATATTAACATAAAAGAAGGGGGGGTGGAAAATAGACTGGTGACAAATGGTATGAATTCCACGAAGCGCTTTCTCCCATCCAAGTACTAACCAGGCTCGACCCTGCTTAGCTTCCGAGATCAGATGAGATCGGGCACGTTCAGGGTGGTATGGCCGTAGACCATGAAGCGCTTTCTCTAATTTCAGTATTGGTAGTTACAATATAACCTCAGTCTGTGCTATTCCTACTTCGAATGAGACTTAACAAAATTGCCTATCTTGATGGGAACTGACATTTAAATACAACTCCAATGGAAATGTGATCTTCACCATCCACTAGGTGGTGCTGCAAATACTAAGCAACAAGTAGGGCTGGCCACCAAGTTATCAACCCTATGCCTTGGTCCTTTATGCTGCAAGGATTTCTGCTTGCTGTAGAGCTAGACTTCTGAGTAAAAAATGGCTCAATTTCATACTAAATTCTCAGAGCAGCCGTGGAAACGTTGTTTCTCACAATGCAGCCCCTTATTTCTATTATGCCAGATGCCAGAACCAACAGTAGACTACTCCTTCCAAACAGGCAGCACAGTTGGTTTAACACATTAACTGCCATGAGAGTTCTATAACTCACGCTAGTTTTGACCCCAGGGCTGCATGAAGCATATATAAAATCTTACTTGTTGATGTTCTTATTGTTAGAATTAACACTGACAACTGAATCCTAAAAACATGGATTAAACGAATAGAAGTCGATAAATTTTGTTTTTCTTTTTATGTTTACCTTAAAAACTCAAAGTTTTTATTCTATTTTCGTATTAAAAACTGTGGCCCCAAGGAAAAGTTGCTGATTTTTTGTGTGTGGCAGGCAATGTGTTATGGGTATGATACCCACAGCTATTCTTCTAATTTCTTAATTTTATTACTTTTAAGATATATGCTTTGATTGCCTATGTGTTTATGAAAAGACATAAAGGAAAAAAAGAGAACTAGGTGCATAGAACTATTTCTTTCTCCAGATCTCTTCACCAAAGAGTGAGACATTAAGAATATTTTGAATTAAATGTTATAGGAAAAAATAAATTATATAAACAATGTCACCTTATATATCAACAAACTGTTATAATTTATAAAACTTATACAGGTACTTGTACATATAAAAATTACTGTTGTCCCACAAAAAATCCTTTTATATTTCTCTAAGAAGGAAGATACTAAAAACAGTGGGAAGTGTAAATTAGGATAATAAATGAGGAAAACTATAACCAGATTACTGCCAGGCATAAATGTCTACAAAATAATAAAAGCATACTACAAATACTATATGTGAATACTATGGAAATCATTCCACCAAGACTAAACACAAAGTTTGCTCAAGGTCTAGATAATGAAAATTCCTTACTACTGTCTACAACTCAAATGGTGTTATAAAACTCATTAATAACTTATGAGTCCTCCAAATTAAAAAAGATCTCTGAGAAAATAACATCTCTAAAAGACACTAAATGCTAATAAGCGTTTAAGTGTAGGCTCTGCATTCAGGATGAGTTTCTTAGCAAACAATAGAGATGTTTACCTAACATTCTTGGAATATATAAGCAAATCTGAGGCAATAAACATATTAGTCTCTCTAGAAATTCAACAGGTCAAGAGAAGGTAAACACACAGAAAATGAAGTAAGTCACATACAGGAGTTTGTAGCTTGACTCTTTTTAATAAAATATGTGTAAGTTACCAAGTGGACAAAATATCCACCTATTAGTAAATTTAATCTGCTCAAAGATATCTTTTCCTCTGAATAATAAACATCTGATACCTAGCAATCTAATACTTCATGTATTAATATAAATAAGACTTTATATGAAATTTATAATACTCTTAGCATCTTTTTTTTCTTATTAAAATACACCATGTAGCAATATAAAATAGTACTTTGTTTTAAGCTTCTTGGGCCTTCAATGATTAATTTAGGCAAGTTTTTCAGCCCTGGCATCCAGGTAAATAATAACATATCAAGCAACATAAATGTCTAGGTAGATACAACCTAGAAGGAAAAAAAATGCCCAAAAACAAAGACCATCTCAACTACCTGATAAATCACCTTAACGTTCTCCATCGCTACTATGCTCCTTTAACCATTTTAACAATCACAGGGACCATCGTGGCCCTGAAACAAAAGGTGAAACATATTCAAATACATATAAAGAGACCCTAGCCATATAGTGACTAACTCATCTATGGAAGTTCATCAGCAATCTTGATTCACTGCTACATGTCAGAAGCAGAGGGAGAAGCTAATAGTCACTTTGATCTACTCTCAAAATAACTTAGAAGAAAGTAAGGTACAGCCTGAGTACTCAGTACAAAGACTTCAAATTTCCTTTCTCAGAATGAAATAGCTGTTTTTAGGGAAAAAATGAAATGAGATATAGGATAAAGGAGACAAATTTGTAACAAAAAAAAGGTAATATAAGAGTATTATGGACTTGTTCTTTATATTCAAGTGTAGTTAAGTCCTAGAAAATCTAAGCTTTACCTTTCTAATTGCTCTCTCATTAGTGATAGCCAAGGAATCACCACTGTTCCTCATCTACTCCACTCCCTTAGATCTTCCTCTGCCATTTGCTGCTTTGCTTTTTTAAGTTGCCCTGAAATACACAGCCCTGTTTGATTTCTACATGGGACCCCTGCCTTAAACAGATGTCCAAAAGAACATACTCAGTTTTACTCACCTTTAACCGTCTCACCATCTCCTCTTTAGATATTTTATCTGAGATTTCCTTGACACCAGGAGGATAAGTAATTTTTCCATCATTGGTCCTTGTCTTTGAATGAGCCATGACGGAAATATTTTTATCCCTAAAACAAGGAAATTATTAGACACAAACCAAAAAACAGGCATAAACAACATTAATAATAAACAAGAAAGGTAAGCTGCCCCCCAATTTATAACTACTCCTAATTTATAGTAATTCACTTCTCTAATTAATAAAAATCATTCTACTAAACATGTCCTAAAATTATTTTTAAAAAAACAAAACTTACTTTTAGTTTCATTCCCAACCCTCCAACAAAAACAAAAACAAAAAAAACTATAAATACCAGTGTAAAATAAAAATCCAAACATAAGCATATTTATAAAAGCACCACAAATTACTCAAACCAAAATTTAAGAAAATACAGGAACCCAGAGAAGTGAATGGAACACTGGAGCACTATAGCCACTTATGCTCTGAAAGCATTTGTCGATTCTTACAAATGTGGGATTTAGGTGGGCTCAAGAACAAGGGAAACAGGGATAAATCAGTACCAAGGCAGAGGCAAATAAGAAACTCTCCTAACATTAATGTAGAGCACTACCCCACCTCAAAAACATATACCTGAAAAGGAGAGGGTAAGCCAGAAAATAACACGTGCTCCTTTCCCCCACCCCTTGCAGGGGACAGCAGAGAAGGCTGCTTTGGTACTAAACACAGCAAGGGAATAACAGATACAGGACAGGAGCAGCCGATTTGTTTTGGCCATGGGCTAGCACATTTGCTGAGGTTCACACGACCTAAGTGATCCAGAGAACTTCAAAACATGAGTTCAGTGACTTCTCAACCAATAGTATCCCCAAGCACCTAACATAAGTAAATCCAAGTCCTGCCTAGAGAAGGACACCTTCATCCTAAGCATTAGAGAATACCCACTACTATGTTTCTAGGACAATGAGCAGTATCAAGTCAAAAATAATCAAGCACCTAAAAAAACAACTATGAGCAAGAACCAGCAGGAATACCAGACACCAAGAACAGATAACACAATTTTTCAGATATTACAACCATCAAACAGATCATAAAACTACTATACTTATCTTACAGAAATAAAAGACAACTCTGAAAATATCTGCAGGAAATAATTATAAAGAGTAAACTAGAAGATCTGAAAAAAAGAAAACTTCTAAAAATGAAAAAAATACTACTGAAATTAAAAACTCAGTGGATGAGTTTATTAGCAGATAGAAAAAAACTATCAGAATTAGTGAACCAAGCCAGGTGTAGTGACTCATGCCCGTAATCCTAGCACTTTGACAAGGCAGGAGGATCATTTGAGGCCAGGAGTTCCAGACCAGCCTGAGCAACATCGCAAGACCTGGTCTCTAAAAAAGATAAATAAGAAAACATTAGTTGGGCGTGGTGGCACATGCCTGTAGTCCCAGCTACTCAGGAGGCTGAGGCTGGAGATCACTTAAGCCCAGGGTTCTGAGGCTGCAGTGAGCTACGAACTTACCACTGCACTCCAGCCTGGGTGACAGAGTGAGACCCCAATCTCAAAAAAAAAAAAAAATTAGTGAACTGAAAGAGAACTCAGAAGAAATTATCCATACTACAACACAGAGAAACATAAAACTGAAATATACAGAACGACAAAAAGGTCTAACTGTAACCTATGATTCATAAGAGTACAAGAAGGATAGGAATGAGACAGAGGCCAAATACCTATAGAGAATATCATAAAATATCAAGCTACAAATTCAAGAAGCACAAGATTAAATTCAAATAATAACAATAATAATAATTCCAGAAAACAAAATCTGAAAGCAAACACATGACTGTGAACAGAATAGAATTAAAACCAATAAGTGAGTTCTCAACAGCAAAAACGTAAGCCAGAAGACAGCAAAATATCATCTTCGACATGGGGAAACAATGTAATTGCAAACCTAAAGTTTACGGCCAAGGAATATAATTTTCAAGAATAGAGTGAAATAAGGACAAATTAGCCAAACAAAAATTGAGAGCTCTAATAAGTATGTATAAAGCACTTAGAAAATCGTTTAGCACACACTAAGTACTACATACTATGTGAATATAATATAGAGGGATCAGATTAAAAGAGCAAGATTTTTATAATTTCAATATAAAGAGCTTAAAAGACAATAAAAACAATGTGGATATGAGATGTTTAAAGTAAAAAGATGGCAAGATAAACCACGCAAATACTAAACAAAAGAAAGCACTTAAGCTAAACATCAATAAAAAAGATAAACAGACTCCAGGACTCACTACTTGGTATTTATGCAATAGAAACACATAACATTTGTCCACCATAAGACATATATAAAAATGTTAAAAGCAATACTATTCAGAATAGCCAAAACAGAAAACACAAATGCCTATCAACAGTAGAATGAATAGGTAAATAGTAGTATATTCACACTATGGACAATAATACAGCTATGAGAGTGAAAAAATTGCCTCACACAATAATATGGATTAGCATTACATAAAGCTAAGTGAAAGAAGGCAGATACAAAACACTACATAGTGTATGATCACATTTACATAAAAGTTCAAAAAACACGGATATCTAATCTATTATGTTAAGAGTCAGGATAGTGATACTTTTGGGGGCAGACGGTAACTGAAAGAGGGGTGAAAAGGGAAATCTGAGGTGCTAGTTACACAAGTATTTTTACTTTGTGTAAAGTCATAGAGCTAAAGACATAATTTTTGCCCTTTTCTGGATATATGCTATACTTCAACAAAAAGTTTAACAGAAAGGATAACAAGCAAAGCTCCATACATTTAAAATTTTAAAAGCACTTCTTACTAATCAATGAATCAAAAGAAAATAAGCATAGGATCAACAAAGTCGAAAATCACAAGCCAATCTTACAAACCTGATAATGTAACATTTGAAAATTTAGATAAAAATTGGGAATATATTTTATGACCAAAACTCAAAAAGAAAAAAACTATTAAGAAACAGAATCAATAATCAATAAATCTTTTCACAAGGAAAAATATTCAAGTCTAGAAGGCTTTACTACTGAGTCCTACTAAATAATTAAGGAAGAAATAATTTCAATGTCATACAAATAGGTCCAAGAAATAGAAAACAAGAGAATCCTTCCCAACTATTTTCATGCAACTAACTGGCATAACCCTGATACCGAAACCCAATGAGAACAATCAGAGAAAAGGAAAAAAAATCACAGACCAATCTTACTCATTAAACACAAATGCAAAACTCCTAAATATTAGGAAACCAAATGCAGCAATATACACAAAAAATTGTTTATCCCAGGAATGTAATGCAGCACATTAACAGATTTAAAAAGAAAATCACATTTAAATTAAACATTAAACAGATTAAAAAAGAAAAATCTCAATAAATGAAGAAAAAAGTTTGATAAAATTCAACAATTCATGACTGTAAAACAGAAAGAAAAAAAAAAGCTTACAAAACTAAGAATTAGACAAAAGTTTCGTTTATCTGAGAAGAGCAGAATGCTATAAGCACCCTACAGCATAAATCACACTTATTGATGATCCATTGAAAGAGTTTTATTTGTGATTCGGAACTATACAAACATACCTGCTATCATCACTTTTATTTGACAGTGTAATAGAGATGCTAATCAACAAAGGAAAGAAAAAGAAATAAAGGATATAAGGATTAAAAAGGAACCAGTCATTACTCACAGATGATATGATTACATCTATAGAAACTCCAAAAGGATTTACAGATAAAACATATAAATTAGTAAGACCGAGTTTAGCAAGGATGTAGAGTAGAAAAATCAATATACAGATAGACAATCTTCAAGTTATAATGAATGGGGTTACATCCCAATTAACCCACTATAAGCCGAAAACATTAAGTCAAAAGTATGTTTCCATAATAAGTCGAAAAGCATACCAAATGCATCATCATAAAGTCCACAAATCATTAAGTTAAACCATCATAAGTTAGGGATCTGTACAAACATAAATCACCCACAGGTAACACAATACTTAGTGGTGAAAGACTAAATACTTCCCCCTAAAATCAGAAACAAGAACAGGATGTCCATTCTCAGCACTTTTATTCACCATAATACTGGAATACTTAGGCTAGCACAGTAACACAAGAAACAGAAAATAAAAGGCATACATTAGAAAAGAAGAAATAAAATCGTCCCTACTTCCAGACGAAACGATTCTCTACACAGAAGATCCCAAAGGAATCTACAAAAAAACAAAAAACTACTAGTTCATCATCGTTGCAGGACACAAGATTAACATCCAAAAGTGTACTGTGTTTCTATATACAGTCATGCATCACTTAATGACAGGGATACATTCTGAGAAATACGCTGTTAAGAGATTTCATCGAGAAATGTGTTGTTAGGCGATTTCATCGATGTGGGAATATGATAGAGCATACTTATATAAACCTAGATGGGATAGCCTAGGCTATACTGTATAGCGGCTATACTACAGCCTATGGCTCCTAGGCTATAAACCTGTACAGCGTGTACTGTACTGAATACCGTAGGCAATTGTAACATTAATTGTATATTGTGTATCTACAAATATCTAAACACAGAAATGGTACCATAATAACATGGTATTATATGCAGTCTGTTGTGATTGTTGATGGAACTGTCGTTATGCAGTGCACAACTGTATATGAAAACAGTGTCAAGGCAGACCAGTAAGGAAAGAACAGAAAGAATACTATAAAAAATTCTGAGACACTTTCTTATCTATATGGGGGGAAAAAAAAGACACTGTACCCGTACCTCACACCATATATTAACACAGACTGAATTCCAGGTAAGTTAATAACCTAAATATAAAAGCAAAATGTAGGCCGGGCGCGGTGGCTCACGCCTGTAATCCTAGCACTCTGGGAGGCCAAGGCGGGCAGATCGTTTGAGCTCAGGAGTTCGAGATCAGCCTGAGCAAGAGCGAGACCCCGTCTCTACCAAAAATAGAAAGAAATTAATTGGACAGCTACAAATATATAGAAAAAATTAGCCAGGCATGGTGGCACATGCCTGTAGTCCCAGCTACTCAGGAGGCTGAGGCAGTAGGAT